CAGCATCGCTGGAAAGAGGAGGCTGGTGAATGTCATCTGGGAACCCCAAAAACTCTGGGATGGTTTGTGCAGTCCCTGCAGGCTTACAGAGAGGCTGGTGCCTGCTGGCATCTCTCACCAAAGGGTGAGCTCACTGCTCCTGACACCCATGATGCCGTCCTGGGGACCTCCATGCCTCTTGTTGGGATGTCCCTTGTCCTCAGAGTGCCAGAGGCTCCCAAACTCACCGCTGTCCCCAGGACATTGCTCATCTCCACTGCCCCAGCAGCGAGGCTGGGCCAAACAGAGCATGGCAGCTCCATCAGCATCCCTATGCCTGATGCACCTGAGACTCCTCCAACACAGGCTGCCCCTGGGTACCTAACAACTCATCCACCAGTGTTACCCACTCACTACCTAGTCTGGTCCTGATGTCCTGGCATCATCCTGCTTCCTGCCCAGACCCTGCCTGGCACAGATTCCACCTGCCTCACTGCCAGGACAGTGTGAAAATAGGTGACTCTAGAGGCAGGAGTGACCCCACACACCCTGGCTCTCTGCCTCTTGACCGAACATACCTTCCTGTGCTGGGGGGAACCCACACTTCCAAATCAGTTCCTTAGATGCATCTGCCCCCTGCCATGGGCCAGTGTCTCCCTTGGGGCCCCAGCTCTGCTCCCCACTATCACTGAGACCACTGTGTGCCCCCGGTGAGGAGGAAAACAGCAAATTTTCAATGTCAAGGCACTGCCACCTCAGCTCCCTTGCAGGGCCCAAGGTGGTAGCCACTCTGCCTTGGCCCAGTGGATGCACCGGTGGGAGATGTGACAGCTGAGGAGTCCGGGGCTTGCTCTGCCATCTTCATATCCCACAGTACAGGGACCAACATGGGAAGAGAAGAAGGACTAACTGACCACCAACTAAGTGGCCCTACCAGCCCGAGGTGCTTCAAGCAACCCCCCCTTCCCTACCTGCCCCAGTCCTTCTTCTTCGAGAGTATGTCAGGGATTTCCCATCCCTTTCAGACTCACAGGTGTGCCCTCGCTCTGCCCCTGCTCTGGCTTTGATGTAGTCGGGCTGGGCTTGGACCACTGCACCCACCTGGCTGGGACCTGCCTGTCCCTCCCTGCCACTCCACTTCTGTCCCTCAGGGTGACATCAGGGTGCCCACTCAAGGATGCAGGGATGGGGGGTGAGCACTCCTCTCCTCTGCTCCCTGCAAGGCCAGGAGGAGGGAGCTGCAGGGCACCCATGGGGCAAGGGGCAGCTTCCAGCGGCTGCACGCCGCCTCCCACCCGGGTCCCTTCCCCCAGCAGACCCCAGGGTCCCGGGGCAGCAGTAAATCACTGCCAGACGAGGGTGCATTCTTGGGCTTTGTGAAGCCCCGTGCTGTCTGGGAGCATCGGTAATTGCTTCATTACAACACGGGGAGACATGTCCCGGCAGTAAAAAAACCTCAGCATGACTGCACTGGGGAGCACTGAGCCCCTACACATACACACACACACACACACACATGCATTTGCACACCCAGACTCTGCTCCAGGAGTCCATGGGAGACACATGGCCAGGGAGCAGGAGGCTGTGGTTTGCTTTTCAGGAGATGGGAAGTGGAAAAAGGACTGGCCTTACCTTGCTGCAGGATTTTGCCGAAGTACTTGCTGTGGCTGGTGCAGTTCCAGCGACGGAAGCGGAATTGGTACTGGCACTCCCGGACTCCCAGCTTGGTGCCTTTGGCGACCTCCTGCACAATCTCCGGCTCCAGCTGGCACAGCTCTGCCTGCTTCCCCGCCAGCCGCTTCGTCTTGCGGCAGATGCTGTTGGGGTCCATGACCAGGGGGCTCCCCACTGCCCTGTAGGAGGGACAGCAAGCAGAGCAAAACCAGCACTGGAGCCAAAGGGGGGACCTGGGTGGCAGGGCCAGCCCTGCCCCCAGGGACAGAGCGGGGCCGCGGGGCAGTGCCGGCTGAGCACTGAGCCTGGGGGACAAGGGGACAGGGAGAGGTATGTAGGGAGGGCAGGGCAAAAGGTATGGGTTGCACCTGTGTGCCAGCACCCAGGGGACACTTTGCCTTGCCCAGTCAGTCAGGGAATGCAGGAGATACCCAGGTGTGAGGCTGGCAGGAGGATGCTGGCACATGCCACTCCACTCCCCAAAGCCCTTGGGGACATCCCTGGGGATGATGGCAGTGTCCCTGATGGGAGGTGACAGACGCCGTGATGCTTAGCATCTGCTCTTTGGGTCTGGTGCTGACCCGGCACGGCCCTGGCACTGTGATATGACCAATGCCCTGTGCAGCTGCAGCTCCCAGAGTCCCATGGGCACAGGGGGGAGCCCAGCCAGCCCTCTCAGTGCACCTCCTCCTCTCCGGGGGAGCTTGCTGCTTTACCCTGTGGGAGACGAGCTGAGTGACCTTGCCAGCGATAAAGCCCCTTGGCTGCTGGCCAGGCTCCCATGCTCACCTCCCCCTACCCAGACACCGGCTCCGGAGGAATGGAGCAGCGGGCGGGTGCGGGTGTGCGAGGGAGGGATGCAGGTGGCATCGCCAGTCCTGCTGATGCCAGTGCGGGAGGGCACGTCTCGGCTGGGCCCGTGCCAAAGGCGGCTCCTCCTCGCCAGCACAGCTGGAGCGAGGTGCCTGGCTCTCCAGGCTGGGAGGCAAAGTCTGAGCATGACGCTGTGCTCCCCAGCGTGCTGCTGGCTACAGAAACTCCTGTACTTTCCCCACGCGTTTCGCCTGGAGTGCCCTCCGTGGCACGGCTCGTACAAAAAAGCCCGCCGGACCCAGGCCGCGTGCCGGGCCAGGCGATGCTCCAGCTCCGCCGCGGGCAACACCGGAGCGGCAACGGGCAGAGGGCAGGCACGCCACGCTGACAGCCTCCCGCCCACGCCACCCATCTTGTGGCATGAAGACCACGTGGCTATGGGCCACCCGAATTTAGCACGCCCCAAACACAGCCCCACTCAGCCTCCCCTTGCCTCCAGCACCACTCCCATTGGGTCAGAGCAAGTCCCACTCGATAACATGATTCGTCTGGCTGTGGATGCCCACAGGACCTCAGGGCTGGACTCAGCATCCTCCAACACTTCGGGATGCCCGAGGACCATGAGGCCACGTCCTCTGGGGTCCCCTGGGGAGCAGAGCCCAGGCACCCTGTGCTGCTGGCAGGCCC